AAACCCTTACACAGAATGCTAACAAGGCTACAGATATAAGAAATAACATTGACTCTATAGGAGATTCCACTGCATTAACTAACTGCAATCTATAGGAGATTCCACTGCATTGACTCTCTAAAACAATTTATATAAGAAATAACATTGACTCTCTAAACTAATTTATAGGAGATGTGATATAAGAGTTCTTGTGGAAATGCTCGGCATTAACTAACTGCGATCTTGAAAAACACATACAGCCTGCAGCTGCATGAGTCAGGACAGTGAGGAACACAAGACATTCCACTGCATTGCATTTGGTTTTTGCTTGCACTGTACAAAAGACTGATTTGCTCTATATTCAGTTAACAACATTGAAACCTTAATTCATTAATCATTGACTGAACTATAAGCTGTCAAATGATGAAGAAGCAACATTGACTGAACTAAAATCTACATACTACACCATCACCATCACCACCATTGAAAAAGAAAAGGGACAAATCATCATTTAATCATTGACTGAACTATAAGCTGTATAATAACTGAAGAAGCTTGTAGTAAGGTAGAAAAGGGACAAATCATCATTTAATTATTGGGACAAATCATCATTTTGGCTGTAATAAGCATACAGTACGGCAGAGAAGGAGGTTGCCCAGCCTTTCTCACCACCATTTGGAATTTTAGGGAAGTGATGACATTAGTTCAGTCAAAAAAACATTCATACAGGACACAAGCAACATATATAAAGATTTATAAAAAGCTTCACGGCGTGCTTTGCTAGCCGACATAGCAAAGTGAACACTGACAATTATCTCATACTCATACCACAGCGGTTCAAACAGGATAGAAACAACAAACAATAAAGCTGCAAGTGGCACTCCTGAGTTCAGAGTTTCAAATTTAGAAAACTGGACAACCACATATAAAGGGGGATTTTAGCCTCAGCCCGGATCATTTATGCCAGTTGCAAGTGAAAATAGTTTAGGCATATAAATATGTCCATATTTCATCAAAGAACTAAAGTACCAAACAATAAATAGAATAGCAGCACAAAATTGAACCATACAAGTACCAAAACTTATGCTCACATGACTAAGGCTTACAACGGCTAATTAAGTGTGATACCAACTCACTGATTTGCACAAGAACATAGCTATCAGTGGATGAAAACAATTGCAGGCACAAAACACTACAAAAGAAAACAAGTGCATCCACACTACCACCCATGATAGGATAATGGCTCCACACACACACGCTGTGTGTGCCATAGTAGCCTTTATCGCAAGAAAGTTGCCTACACTACACAAAACAAATAGACAATAACTACAGGAATAGACAACAAGGAATATCAGCACCTTCAAGGCGCTCTTGTTTAATATCTTAGGTAGTAGTTTAATTTTCCTGCTTAATCAAATGGAAAATGATAAACAAAATTGAACACTATAGGTGACAAGAATGTATGGATATTGCACATGTCAAATAAAATAATTGTTGTAATTCAATTGTGCAATTTACTGCTAATAAAAGTGCAATATAGAAATAGGTACTAACCAGCACGATCCAAAGCAGGAGCAACATTTTGAGATAATTGATTTCCTTTTGAATGACTACATGAACCTCAAATGTATATTTAAATAATGACAAACTGTGGATCGATTAGCGGTGGTTATGAACCTATGAACGGTTCACCAATTTGAGAAAAACAAACAAACAAAACAGCTAGCAGTGGCACACATGTCTGCACCCGGAAACAGAACACCAAGACCACAAATCTAGTTAAATCAACACAAACATTCTTGATCTGCAATTCAGAAACGTAAGGTAATGTTAATCCCAATCGAAGGAAACCAGAACACTTGAAGCCACCACCCCCTGACCACAAAGACATTCCCACAAAACAACAGATCCACCCACACAGACGTAATCTGTGTATGTTACTTTCCTAGAGTAGTTTAACAAATTGTCCTGTATGAGCATGAACTCAGCATTTTATTGCTTACAATTATTTTTAAACTTAGTCTCCTACCAGGAAATAAGTTTATTGGCCTAGGTTAGTTTGTTGCACATAATTTTTCACTCTATATTGATGGCTTTGCCTTATTATTTCTACTCGGCTATCTATTTGGTGGCTGCAATGTGAAGGCAGAGTGCAACAATACTCGGTAATAAGCAAATATTCACATGACATGCAAAATTGTGAATAAGCAAATATTTGCTTATTACCCCTAAAATGCAAACAGAGAGAGGAGGAGAGTGAGAGGCACGCAGGCAATGATTGGTGTTGGAGAAAAAGACAGGGCCATGAAAGAATGAGGTGAGTGATAGGTAATGGGTGATTGAAGCATTGAAGCTTGTTCGGGTAACTGAATGAAGCGAAGCTCCCATGTCCTCCAACAAATCCATGGACCGACAGAATGTGGATCCATCCCATGCCCTCCTACCTTTAGAAAATACTTTCCTGCACAAAACACTAACACAAACAACGCCACACTTGACTCTTGCTTTAACCTTGCCGTTGAGACCTCCTGGTTTGCCCAATCCATGCTCGCTCCCTCCGATGCACTCTTGTTCCATTTGCCCAAATCAATGCGTGCACTGCCACAACCTGGGCTCCAGATCTACTCAACCCAAAATTGACTTGGAAATTGATTCTGCAGCAGAGGGCCAACCCCTCTCCTTCCTCACATATCTCATCCCAATAGCACAATAGAACAAGTTCCTCACACCAGAGGAAGAATCAATCACCATATCAGGAAAGGGGATCCAGCAAATCGAGCAAATGCACACCACATCAGGAAAGGGGATCGGATAAATCATGCAACCGATGAGGAGCACAGATACAAAGAGGAAGAACATGGACAAATCACGCACCAGAGGTCCCAGCTGTGTTGACCTGCATGGCTCGGAGGAGCTTTTGGAGGAGCTCGTTGGTGGTGCGGAAGCGGGCGTGAAGGTCCGCGAGGTCGACGCATCCAGCGGCGAGCACGACCTGCGTGGCGTTGAGGTCCGCGTGGAGCGCCGTAGAGCCATCCCACAGGCAGGCGGTGTTGGCGGCGCTTGCCGTAGTTGTCGAATCGGTGAGGGGGAGGCGACGCACCGAGACGGGCGGGCCGGAGCACCGAGGTTGCCGAGAGAAGAATCGCCGCTCTGGGAGAGTGGGAGAGCCAGAGAGGAGCGAGTGGTTTAGCACTCGCGGCGGCTAGACTGCTGTTTGCAGGTGCGGTCCCAAGAAAAGAAACTAGTAGTTTCTATGACATAGGATACCGCACTAAAAAAATACTGTTTTTCAACCCATGGTTTCTATGAGTAATAATTATTTTCTCTTAAAAACACCAACTCTATCTTCTTCCTTCAATGGGAGTTGGGTGCGAGCCCCCTAAGGTCATTGGTTTCTCTCCAATGGCGGGTTTCATGGTTTCTTGGTGCATTGGGTCAAGAGAAGACTTTGATTTCTTCACAGGAAATATATTTCTATGATTTTTATATCTTTCTTTTTTAATTACGTCATAAAAGTTCAACGCTTTGCCAATTTTAAAAACGTATTAAGGCAAGTCATTTAATGAGGATAGAAACCATCATCAATACACCATTAGGAGTGCCCTTAGTGGGTGCGCTCTCCGGTGTCTGGACCCAATAAGAAACAACGGACCCAATAACAACCAAACCAGCGCACGGATCTTGAAGACAATCGAACCATCTGCTTAAGTGGAATAGGGAGAAGCTGAGAAATGAAAATTTCAGGCACCTGGACAATAGGAAAAGTGCACAACAAATTATATTTTCATAAAAACACATTCAACATTATATCCAACAAAGGGTGTTGGGTGCTTGTGGGGCCTGTTGAGGTCATTTTAGGGGGTGGACTCCTGATTGGGTGATTCAAGATTGATCACACACCAATAGTCATCTTTGGTCTTTTGTTTCACTATAATATATTAAAAAGAGAGTTTATATATGGATTTTTTTATTTTGTCATAAAAGTTAAGAACACTCTGAGTCCAATTTTAAAACGTATTAATCCCTGATTGGATTAAACTTTAGACCAGGATGCTGTTGGGCGCCTAGCAGCCTGGAGGGACTTGCGGAGCAGCTGCAGCAACCCACGGTGGAGCTGCGTGGGAGCCCCTAAGTGGAATAGGGAGCCCCTAAGTGGAGCTGCAGCAACCCACGGTGCAGAGGCAGCAGCAACCTGGCCAACCATCTGCTTAAGTGGAATAGGGAGAAGCTGATTTGGTATAGGGATTCCTAGGCGGCAGCCAAACTCCAGCTGCGCCCACCCCGCTCATGGTTTAGCTTTTTATTAGTGGGATACTTAGCTTAGTTCACTATTAGCTAAGGCCCCGGGGCAGATTAGTATCTGGTTTGCATTTATGTAGGATTTTTCGATCTTATAGTAGGGCATAGCTCACTTTGGCCCTTGCTAAACTGAGCTCCACCACTGGGACATGGGGCCTCTGCTGGGGTACTGGGGTACCCGATGCTAGCGCCATAGATCGGACGTGCTTGCAAGTCATAGTCTTAACGCCGGACTACGACAGAATCAAATTCACAGTTATTTCACTTGCCTTTTCATCGTCATGGATTCGCGCTACGGCGCTAGCCCTTAGCTGCGGCGGCGGATGCGATGTGGCAGGCTCGTTTAAGAAAACACGATATTGGGTGGATTCCTTTTACTATTTTTTTTTAATTGAAAAAATAATGCCGAAAATTGTTCGAAATTTACGATCATGTACTATCGTTTTCTTCCAGCCGAACAGGCTTGTAGCGACGCAACCGCGATGACAGGTAAGGCGATGTGGGGGGTTAAGCGCAGCAGGGTAACTCAATCGGCAAGCACAATGGGAAAAACAACAACGTTGTTAAAGGGCAGAACTGTTCGCATTCCACTGGGCTTCTCTGAGCGGCCTGCCTACGCAGCCCAATAGGCCCAGACGTGGTCTAACAGTTTCTCTCGCGCGTGTCTCCCATCGCTCGCCGTCTTCTACCTCCGTCTGTCGAAAACAGAAAAGAAGCCGTCCATGGCCGCACATAGCAGAGGGCATCCGGCCATGAGGGAAAGGGAGTTCTCGCCGGCGGGGACCTCTCCATATTGGTGGATCCGCCCCTGCGCCGGACCGATCCTCTTCCTGTCCCTCCTCTTCCTCTTCCTCTTCCTCTTTACCGCCGCCGCGGCGTCTGCGGCGGCGCCTGAGGAGGAGAAATTCACGGAGGAGCTGCTCCTGCGGCCGCTCCCGGACCGCAAGGCACTGGCCCACTTCCACTTCCGCTCCTCTGCGCCCCCCGCTGCTTCCGTTGGTCGGCACCACCACCTCTTCCCCAAGGCCATCTCCCAGCTGGTGCGTGCCCCGTGCGTCCATCTCCACTCAGGAGCAGATCTCTGATGTCGCTGACTTAGGGTTTATGTTCCAATTGTATACAGCTTTAATTCGTCGTTCATACTGGTACATTAGCTTGGACTAGCATGCAACTAGATAGGTGTGGTTGTAGATCAATAACACGTTTGATCTGTTTGTGGGTACTCCACTGGGACAGTGAGGCAAGCAATTGCTTTGCTGCAAAGATTTTGCTTTTGGCACATGTACATAGTTGTGCTAAGATGGAGATCTTTACTTTGCATTTATTTCATTTTTCCACCTAATGATGTTTATCAAGTTGTCAAGGTATTAGTTGAATGTTGCAATCCAAGTGCTGATTTGTTTTTACCCAAATTTGAGCCGAGGTGCTGTGTAATCGCTGTAAAGTTTAAGTTTTGCAATTTGATCAAAGGCTGAAACCCAGCTTGATTAGAAATGGGCACAGTAGTTGGTGGATTTGTACTTTGTAAGACAACAAGTCAATGACCCTGAGTATTGGGGGGTCTCTGAAATGGGCACAGTAGTTGGTGGGCTTTTGCCTATTAGGCATTAGCCCCAAATGTTGGTGGGTTTGAGAATTTTACTCTGTATTCTTTTGTTGCCTATTAGGTTTACATATAATAAGCTATGCCTTGTTTACACCTTTAAGCCACAACAGCCTGGGCGCTGAAGAAAAGGGCCCTCCATTTCTTATGTGCTGCCACATTTTATGAATGACTGAGAACCTCTATTAACATTATTCTGCTTTGTCAAGACCAGGTTAAAAAATATCATATTAGCGAGTTGGAGCTATCTTTCACCCAGGGAAGATGGAACTATGAGCAGTGGGGTGGATTTGATCCTATGTCAACTAATAATGCAAAGCCTCCTGGTGTTGAGCTGTGGGCAGTTTTTGATCTTCCTTTGTCTGAAATTGATGCAACATGGAAGAACCTGACACATACACTCTCTGGCCTGTTTTGTGCATCCATCAACTTTTTGGAGTCTTCAACTGCATTTTCTGCTCCTCGTTGGGGATTTAAATTGAATGAAGGCAATTTGCGATATGGTGCATTGCCTCGTGAAGCAGTATGCACTGAGAATCTGACACCTTGGTTGAAACTTCTTCCATGTCGTGACAAAGCTGGGATAGCTTCTTTGCTGTACAGGCCTTCAATTTACAAAGGATATTACCATTCGCAAAAACTGAAACTGAGATCCTCCCAGTCACTTGGTATTATTCTTGATCAAACTCTGACTGTTGTGCTCCAACCAAATACTGTAAGTGGCGAACAGCTACATTCCAATCATGGTCAACTTCAGCCCAACTGGTCCATGAGACATCTTTTCAACAGAAAGTTGTCAGGGAAATGCCTTGTTTCTAAATCCAGCAGAGTATTCATTGAGGTTGATAAAGGCATTGTTGACAATGTTAACAAATCTGGAAGTGATCTTTCTTGGAGTAATGAATTCTTTGTATTGTCTAATAGCCCGGACAAGTTGATCAAAGGTCAAAATCACGTAGAAATTCAATCTTCTTTTTTATATGTATACGATGCTAGTAACTACACTGAGGAAAAACCTTTGGATGTGGGCATAACTTGGAAGCTTCCCCTCGTATGGACTTGCACCCCATCACCTTTTCATGCAAGCAGATTTCTTATGGGCAGTGGAAATGAAAGAGGGTCAATTGCTCTGTCGTTTATGTCCACTAATCTTCATAAGCAGATATCCGGCAGCCCAACTGATTGTTCAATAAAGGCAGTTATTTTCCAGGTTGTTCCATGGTATGTTAAGGTCTATTATCACAGCCTAGAAATATTTATAGATGGGAGCAGGAAGACTGTGTCAGAAGTAGTTGACAAGATTCATGTCATTCCTTCAGAAGACAAGCTTTTGCCTGGTACCCTGGAGATGCTACTAAGATTCCCTTGCAGTATGCAGTCAGGAACTCTGACATTGGATTTTGACAAGGTATGCTCTGCTGCTTAAGTTACTTGAATGTACCTTCCCATTGGGTAGAATTTCACATATTTCTCACTTGGTGCTTCGGCCTGAGTCTTGATTTGTTATTTTCCCCTTGGGCAGTCTTAATGCAATGATGTCCAGAACTAAACATTGCGTTTTTAGTTTGTGACAATGTTAACTGCACATGAAATTTCAGGGATTCCTGCATATAGATGAATATCCTCCTGATGCTAATCAAGGATTTGACATTCCTTCAGCTTTGGTTAGCTTTCCTGAGTTCAGTTCTGCTCGAAGTTACCCTGAAATTGATCCAGTACTTGGATCTCCTTTACTAGAAAATTTCCAGGTACACCCTCAGAGATGTCATGAACTGATCAGTTGGCTAGTACTAGCTGATTTCCTTGCCATACATGAATATAAGTATTTGTGCTTCATTATCGTTGCAGTATGTCAATATCTCTGTGTTCTGCAGGAAGATAGTGTTGTGAAGTCGTATACAGAAGTATTGCTTGTTCCCCTGACAACTCCTGATTTTAGCATGCCATATAATGTCATCACCTTCACATGCACTGTCTTAGCTCTTTACTTTGGCTCATTATTGAATGCTTTGAGACGAAGGATTGGTGAGGAAGAGAGGGAGTTGAAGAAAACAGGTAAGCACAAATATTTATGTTGTTTGGTTTCTGTTTTGTGATGCCTTGTGTTACAGAGCTTGTGCTCTAGTATGTATGGGACTTAATCATACTTGTATAACAGCTACATTCAATGCAGAATAAATTTTGTTTTCGTTGTGCTGTCACCATGCCTGCTCTTTTTTCTCGAACAACCATGCCTGCTCTTCTAGAGAGAATCAGATAAAGTTGTTTCTTCAAAATTTGATGTAAAGGATGGAATGCAGCTTCAGATGTTGAAAGAATTGAATAATTAACATTTTTTTGTTCAACTTACAATTTCCAACCCTACCTTGAAACAAGTTACAGTGTTACACACTAACAAGGTTACTTCAACACAATGTGCCTGTTTTCTTGCTCTAGATTTAGCTGGTCATGTTTCTGCTGTGCAGTGGTCATACTGAAGAAGTGGCAACTCTTAGCAAGCATCCTTTATAGGAAATTTGTTGATGAATTGTTCTAGTTCTAGGAAAAAAATAGATGTACTGGCTAAAAGAAGACAGTACTTGGTTTGAAGAAAGTATTGTTCAAAACAGGTTGGGAACTTTTTGTTTCTCGGACCAATTAGATTTGCGCCTTCAAAAAGGATTTGGATGTCATGGGCTCCTCTATGGTGTAATTTTTCACATGGGTTGCGGTACTTAACCATTGTTGGACTGCAGACAGATCGGCAAAGACGGGGTTGCCATTTCTGGCGTTTTGCCCACTTTGTGACCTAGCTCCTGAAACTATCAACCATCTGTTGATCTGTGTGGTTGCAAGTACAGTATAGCTTACTGTAGTTCGAGAATTAGCCTGCAGGCTCTAACACCACAACCTGATGCCACTACTCTGGCTGGTCGAACCGGATTATAAAGAGAGCGGATAATGAGCACTGAGAAGACCTCGATTCTTTGATCATTTTAGTAACACAGGAAATAAGGAAACACTGTAATGATTGCGGTTTCAACAATGCTACCCTGAACATATCCTTGGTAGTGTGGACAGTAGAAGCGGAGGGAGCGCTCTATTGTTCAAGGCTGGGACTCATGGCCTCCAGAGCCTTTTCTAGGGACTGTGTCCTTGCATTTTGGTCATCTGATCTATTTGATCGTATCGTATTTGATCTCAGTGTTCTAGGGGATGCGTGGATTTTGGGTGTGTATCCTGTTTTGTGTTGTACATTTGGCTTTCATCTTAATGAAATGACACATGGCACTCCTACATGGTTCAAGAAAAAAAAAACTACGCACTCTTTTATAAATGTGCTATTTCGATATCAAACAGGTCTCCAAGATAGAAAATCACTGCTTGATCTTTAACAGTATGCTACTAAGTATAGTCACAAAGTTCCTGGGTCCATGAGGGTCAAGGAACATGGCGCACTACTTGCTAGAGGTTTTTATAAGACAGGGATGAAATTGTTCCTGAATTCCTGGGACAGGGACGATTTCCTGGGACAAGACCTAGCTTCTTCCTGTTTTCTGATACTACTAAGAACCGCCTTTCTATACATGATGAGAAAATAGTATTTGATTGTTTTTTTAAAACTTTGGTTGTTAGGAGTGGGACTTTTGTTAACTGAACCCTTGGCACTAGCTTCAGTGTGAAATCCCTTGCATTTTCTGAACTGACCTTGGCATATTTTTCTGCAAACTATTTCACATATTTTATATTGATATTTACTTCCTATTTCGCCCCTATTGTGATGTACTCCCTCCGTCCCAAACTATAAGTCGTTCTGACTTTTCTAGATACATAGATTTTACTATATATCTAGACATAATGTATATCTAGGTATGTAGCAAAAGCTATGTACCTAGAAAAGCCAGAACTAATTACAACTTGGAAAGGAGGAAGTACATGTAATGGGGCTTCTGAATTTCTTAACAAATGTTGTTGATATTTTATTTTCCTGAAAAAAAAAAACATCAGCAGCTTGCTTCTTACCAGTATTAATTCTGTTACAGCCACAAGGCATGGGCTCATTCCTCGGTTGGTAGCTAAGTTAAGGGGGCAGAAGGTGGATCCAACAGAGTCAGGGTCCTCATCTGAATCGAGTGGATCAAAGAAGCTGCTATTCAAGGTTGTATTTGTTGCTGTAGCTGCAGTTCTATTTCACTATTTCTCAAACAACAGTTAAGACTTAACATCTGTATCTAAAATTTTGGGCTACTTTGGACTGTGGAGCCACGGTGGTAGAATGTACCATGTTGTGTAGCATATGTATTGCCTGTAAAAGTTTGCTTGCTTCCAGGCGCTATTTTGTCATCCTAGATTCTTGAAAGCAGAGCTTGCTGTCCCTTGATTGCACCAGGTTCTTTTTTTTTTTTTTGAGGAACCCACTATACATTTTTTACGTTGATCTAAGTATCTAACCACCACATGCAGCATCTGAGCAGCATCTGTGCACTGTGCTTGAGCTTTATTCGGCTTGAATTGCTACTAGTCCAGATAGATTTTTTTTTGCTGAAGTAGAATGTATTCCATACGATCATTTCGTGTCAGATTTGTTGGTCTCAAAGAAAAAAGTATTGGCGTCTGTTGGTACCCCCCACCCCCCCAACCCACACATACACACAAAAAAAAGTCTGGTCACTCCAAAAAAAAAATTATCATTTTGTTTCTCAAAGTTCAGATTTTAAGGGATGAGAGATCATATCCTATGTTAGAAGAATATACGAATAAATAGAATTTTCTAGATCTGCCTCTGATATTGTGATGGAGGAATCGTGCTGGACATCCATCCAAAGTTCCAAACCCCGCTTGTGAATCCATAGCATTTCAGATAATGTGTCGTCAGCAAACAAAATCCGGTGATAGTTGGAATAGTCAATGCTACTACGGAGTACTACATCACAAACAAATTCCTGCATTGAAAGTAGTAGGAAACTGGTGTGCTCTCTAAAGAGATTTATGGAGCCCTTGGCCGCGTCCTGGCGCGAGCGAAGATGATGACCACGCTGACGAGGATCCACGGCGGGAACATCCCGTTGACCAGCCTCGACGACCGCAGCGGCTCCGGCACCCCGTTGACTGCAACCGCTGCCATCACCGCGGGCACCAGCAGGCCGGCGACGATCACCGACACCGGCTTCGTCCACGACTCCTGCCGGCAACGAAAAGCCGTTGGGTTGGTTCCGCGATATCCACGTGCCGCGAGGTGCAACTCGTAAAAACGAAGGGAGAGGAACACGGCCAACTCACTCTGGGCTCGCCGTCGAGGGCGATGACGGCGCCGTCGCGGAACGGCAGCGCGGAGTAGCCGGCGGCCGGGTCGCACCTGATCCGAAGGCCGCGCCCGCGGTGGGGGCCCTCGGGCCTGAAGGCGAACAACGCCCGGAGGCCGTGGCTCGCCTGGATGCGGCGCACGTCGAGGCGGTCCCGCCTAGGGCCCGACAGGTCCGACCGGAAGATCGCCACCGGGCCGGCGCCCCGCCGGTACAGCCGCACCTCCACGAACGGGACGCGCTGCCTCGCCGTCGCGGTCGGCTCGAGCAGTGGCGCAGCCAAGCATTCCTGTTCCGCACGCGCCATCACCACCCCCTCGCCGTCGGCCTGCTCGTTTGGTAACTACTGCGATGTGCGGGCCTGGCTGGATGCGAAAATCCTTAAACCTTATATTGGTTCAAAATTGAGCTAAATACCATAGCTTTGTACGTCAACCTGGTTTTCAAACAATCTCCCAACCAAAGCAAAGCATTCTCATACCCAGAGGAGGAAAGTTCATATAAAATGTTGGCGCAATGCAAGAGTAATTAAGTTTGTATTCCAGATCCAGCACAAGGTAAAAGTTGATTTGAGACAGAACAATCTCCACCGCTCAAACCAAGATAGAGAAGCGTCTTAACATAGGACAACAGTAGTAACAGCTGAATTCGGCTTTAGTTACAAGCACAAGCATCTTGCCTTTTTTTTTTTGATATGGAACGCATGGACGGATGCGGGGCGCAGAGAGCAGCTGCGCAGCGCAATGCATCAGTCCGCCGTCCAGCTCTGCTCCACGACCTCCCGCACTTTGCGGTTGTACTCTCGCTTGTTCTCGCTGAACATGCGGGCAGCTTCAGAGTTAGCCGGGCGAATTCGGGTTTGGGTCGCACAACAATGACTGCAAATGGCACACACCTCAGGTTAGTCACACACTGGCCACCAGCACAGATGGTTTGAGTCTTTGAGAACATCATAATTCATAAACATAAACAGAGACACATTCTACTCAGCAGACATCCAGGTCCATAGCAGTAACAGAAACTACTCTTCCTCCATCCCAAAAAGAGTACGCTTCTAAATCTGGTCCAAATAGAACTATCTTAAGTTTGACTAAGTTTATAAAAAATAGTATCAACAATTATGATTCCAAATAGGTATAATATGAAAATATATTCCATAATGAATCTAATAATACTAATTTGGTACCATAACTATTTCTAAAAATTTGATCAAACTGAGGATTGTTTGACTTAGCGCTGTAGTTAGAAGTGCACTCTTTTTGGGATTGAGGGAGTTGCTATGCATTGCAAAGTTGAATGTTATTGTATGACAAGCAAAAGTTACAAATGTTGGAAAAACAATAATCTCTGCCAAGAAATAAAAAGATTACTTGTATGGTTGTACCTGGATCGACGTGAGTATTGCAGCTACATCATATATCGGACTCCACTGATTCTGCAGGATATCTAAGCATATGCTTCCATCAGCATAAACTGCACACGAGAAAAAATATGTCAGGGTGACATATAAGTGGACATTAGAAGGTAGTACCATCCTATAGTTAAGAGCAGTTGTATCAGAATAAGCCAGAGGAGAAAGAAAGCCAGAGTTCCATTGGTTCAAAACCAATGGCACTACATGCATTGTGAAATCTCAGCACATATGTATTCACAAATCACAGCACATATCTGATACATCAAGAAGATAACCACAAACACAGAAAAGTTGCCAAAAAAAGTCTATGATGTCTGAGTTGAAGAGGTCCCTTGGGGGAAAGAACAAGTCAGCAAAGACAAAATCAGATCTGCTTATTTCCTGTACACTCATATAAATATGGATGAGAAACAACTTACTGTTTGGATGAAACATCCTAGAAACAAAGCGCACGGTTGGTGGCTTGTTTGGATATTCTTCATTAAACTGGAGAGTCAGCTTGAACGTACCTGAGAATAAAATAGGAGTTAGCATATTATCAATGAAAGGACAGAACACAAAGCAAACTATGTAGTAAGCTCAGAAAGACAAGTTAGCAACACAGAATCTAAGAGCTGTTGTGTGAGTTAGTGCACTGGAGATTTAGGATCATTTTCATATCTAACACTTTCCCAATCTATGAACCGACAATATATGATCATGTATTTCCAAAATGGGAATGTTTTTGAGTTATGGCAAACTTTGAACAATTTTACTACCGCTAAATTAACACAAACCATAAGGGAATTGCCACCACAGGATGTCAACAAAAAAGGTGACAGGCTGCAGGCCGCGCACAGACAATCCTGTGGTGTGTGAAACATTAGCTTCCAATAAAGCATGCATTATCAGCTAATTCAAACGGCAGAGAGAGGCAGAACAGTTATAGTGTAGACATTGTCTTGTTCTGAAACAGCACAAATACAAAAATTGCAACAAGAGGAAGAGGACCATACCAACTATTGATTATCTCCGTTAAGAGGACCATTGTATAATTAATTCCTGGATAATGGGGCTCATCCAGCTAATTCTTTGACTTTATTCTGTCTAAATCAATCATTCTACACATACAAATACCAAAGCATTGACTGACCTTTCTCACCACCAGCAACATGCTTTGGGCTTGCATATTCTCACAGTAGCAATAGTCGTTGCAATGTTTTTTTTCCTCTTATCTTAAGATTCAATGAGAGAAGAAAAGGAATTCTCACTAGGTTTAACAATAGTTTTATTGTTTATAATTATTAATATTTGCTTTTGAAGTTAATTTGACGTCATTGCTTACCAAGACTGACACTAGTGTTAGCATGGTACAAACAACAACAACAACAACAACATGGTACGCTACAAAGTTCCATTGAATTTGGGGGTCAGTTTCCTTTATAAATCTTAACTTGGAATTTGTACTCTAGAGCAGCTATGCATTTGACAGTAAGGTCAACAAACTCAGATAACTGAAAACTTCTGCTTGCCACCTGCAAGTGAACTACTGCCTACTAAAAGATTGTCGTATTCTGCATCGCTTGATCACGTCAGTGGTGCCTGTTGTGCTGGCAAAGCCAGCAGCAGCATATGCAGATGCAATTTATTATTGTTTGGATAAGCACATGATGAGTTGGGTCTAGGAAGCAAAAATCTGCAACATGAATCAGATTAACTAACCACCATCCCACGGGGTATCATCAGGTCTGTAAATGAAACAAACATATACAAAGACGATGTCAGATTACAATTCAAACTAAGAAAGGGGGGGAAATGGAGGATTCTGCATCATACCCAAATATGACAGCATTCCACAACATTATGTTGTTATCCTGCGGGGCGCCACTTATGCCGGCCGGAGGGTCCTGCATCAACCGCTTGAAATCCCTCATCAACCTCTTCCTCGCAGAGGTCGACATCCCCCGGATGTCCCTGCACGACACATACAACTCAACGTGAGCCAAAGGATCGCACGAATCTATCACCGATCCGTCACCGCCCCGCCCCAGCACGTGCAGGATTAACAACCCGAACAAAATTTGGGGGAAAAAATACAGCTGTTACCACCAGCACCACAGAGCGAACAAATCCGCAACAGAATTGGTGGATCGGGGCATCCATCCCAGCCAGGACGATAGGGATTAACAAATCACATAGAGAAAGGATCCTGCAGAGCTTTACCTAGGTAAGAAGAAATCAATCGAGGTCCAGCAGATGGACCGGACGGATGGATCTCCAGTCCACACTAGGTGTAGCTTACGCGCCCAGTAGAGTGTGAAGGGGAGGACGATGACGACGACAAAAGAAGACGACGAGCAAGAGTCCTGGAACGCCTGATAGCTTAGACGAAGGGGATGAATTTTAAAGGTCCGAACAAAAGGCCGAATTTTTTCATTTTTCGTTTTCTTTTTTGCTAGGTGCTTTCGAGGGAATTAGTTCTTTCTTGTTTTAGTTTTCTTGTTATATTCACTTTCTGGTTTTACCCTTCAGTCCTAAAATATAACGGAAGTTCATCCTAAACACAAAGAACTTATATGTAATCTAATACTTATATGTAGTCTAATGTTTTTATACTCACTCCATCCTAAAATATAGGTATCCCAACGTTTAAATTTGTTTCAAATTATAAGGGATTCCAAGTGAACAAATTCTTCAAAAGGCAACATTCACATACACATCATTATTAATGTTTGTCACCAATCTAAACATAATAATCAACTAGGGTTATATGTATCATTTGTTGTATCACATAATATGTCCTAAAATTAGTTGGATACTTCGTATTCCTAAATGGAGGAAGTACTCAAATACTAGCAATATGAACTTTCTTTGGTGACTTCATGATCGCCCTCTTGATGAACGATCAAAATAAGGTAAAGCTTAGATATAAGTTTTGTAAAGCTTAGATATAAGTTTTGTACACCATACACTATATTTAGACTAAGTAGCCCAACTTCTTATTTTGCTACAACACTCTAGTTAGAAATACAATTGGCCTGGCTCTAGGAATGTCAATGCCTCATTTCGTTACACCTTTGCTATTCTTCTCCGTCTGGTTTATTGATGGCTTTTGGAGCATTTTTCTCCTTCCCGGATTAGGAGTTTATGGATCCCTTTTGGAGCATTTTTTTGTAGATTGGTAGATGGACAAACGATGTGACCTCGTGGGCATGAGTAGGTCTTCCCACACATGCGATTTGAGGAGGCCCAACCTAACATTCATTCATGGATTGTTTGGTGCACGGTCTCCAATAAGGAAAGAATTTCTTATAGTAGTTTATAACCTCGACAACTCTTAAAAGATCTCCTTTTTGAATAGAAATTTTTTGTGGGTTTGTTGGCTTTTGGAGCATATAAAAATCAATTCATGGATTGTTTGGTGACGGCCTCGTAGAATATGCAACTGGACAACTCTTTCTCTTCATGTCTGCTTGTTCGCAAAATGTCAATCCGATTATGCGAGTATGACATCCTATTCATCCTATTCACAAAGCAGCTTCTTCCAATCGATGAAATGATAAATCCTCGGTGATTCAACCATACATTTTGCAGATGCTTTCAGCACCAAATCATGGTTAAGCTTCACTTAAATTGGTTAATTGAATCAGGAGTATGTTCCATTTGGCTGGGACTATGTTTTTTTAAACGAACAGCAGAAGCTCTGCCTCTCAATTAAGGAAGAAATAAAGAAGGTTTATATATAGCCACAGCCCGAGGAGCTGTGCAAACAAACAGGGGTAAAAAATCCCCCCAAACCACGTATACAACTAGAATGGCCGGCTTGCTAGCCCCCTTCCTGGAATGCCCCTTGGAATGCCCTCATCATTTGCTTAATGTCTTCTTTAATTCTTGAAGCCACTTGCAATGGCGATTCTTCAGCGTTATTGAAAATTCTTTGGTTTCTTTCCTTCCAAAGATTCTAGTATGTGTAGATCACCAAACCATTGAAACGCCTTCTTTCATCCTTTACCCTGTTCGCTTGATCGTATCGATATATTTATCAGCCATGATACAATATTTTTCTCTCACAACAAAACAACATCAACCGGCTTATAAGCCACATAAACGATCAAGCCAACATGTGCTTAGCGACCTTAGTAGCGGTCTCCTCCCACCAGGTACGGGGTCTCTAGTGAACTGAACATGGGACATGTACTTCAGTGCAATGATCAAAGCATATAAACAGTTCAGGCGTGTCGCTCGCTTATCAAAATTAAACTGGGCAGTCACATTTGTGGCCTAGTGCCTGCACGTACAAGACATAAATCCCGACTATAAACTTGATTATCCGATAAATGTTTTCTTTGAACAAAACGGGAGGAGCACTGCCATAAGAGAGGAACCATGCAAATTATACAATTTTTTGTTACATGGATAAATTGTCAGGTTCATTTCTTGACTCGCGACATGTCCCACATCATGAAAGTGAATGTTAGCGCTCAGGCTGATTACCCTCACGTAGGTCAGGATCGTTAGTTTTAAGTGGTGACAAATGCACCGTAGCCTTGCACGGGATACAAACACATAGAGCTCTTTCTCAGGCAAACCCTGCAATTAATCATAATATAACAACTTAGGTGAGTCTAGTCAACTGTAAAAAGAAAAAAAACTATCAAGTAAATGAAGCGGGATACCCACTTGGAGCATGCAAACAAAGCTCCAACAAAATTCCTTTTCAAATTGGTAAAAATGCAAAATCCACATGTTGACTCAATTGTGTCAAAGTATAAGTGAATTGCCTTGTTTGCCCAATCAGCTTAAGCTTCAGGTTGAACTGACTTGTATTCAATGAACCAAGAAAACATGTCATTATTCCCCACCTACATGCGATGTGATCGGAAGGCATTCCAATGACACCGATCTCAGCCCACACCACACCATAAAAAAGGGTATCCAAAGGGCTTCAATTAGGGGGGTAGTTCACCAAAGATGGCCACACCCCACATCTACCAATGTGAGGCATGTTTGTGGGTCTAAAGACCCACCTACATGCTATGGCGATGGCGACACCACCGAATGACCACCTGATCCTGACACAAGCATTGCCACATCTATAAACACTAGGGCTACCCCATGCCCGCATCAAGAAGGCGTTAGGACATCAGAAGATGCCCTAGAGGCATGCATCTACTTAAGGTTGTGAGGCATGTTTGTGGGTCTAAAGACAGTGAGCCACCGTCAACATCTATGGCGATGAGCGACACCACCAACGCCACCACCAGGACAGGTGACACAAGCATTGCCGGGCATCTATACCGACACTAGGGCTGCCCCATGCCTGCATCAAGAAGGCGCAAGGACATCAGCGCCCTAGAGAGGCATGCACTACTTAAGGTTAATGATGTTTAATTCAAATTAGGTGTTCATGCTTTGGACTAGACAAGATCCAAAGGGTTAATTGGGTTTAAGATCTAACAGCCTCAAGCTTTCAGCTAGCTCAAGGATGAAACCCCTCTCCACGCTACTAACTCATCCAGCAACAAGTTCCATTTCTTTAGGTGGGCAGAGATCTATCACGGCATAACGGGAAAAGGTTGACTTAGGTGAGCAGATTATTAGCAATAGAAGGCAAATATACCTATAAAAGCACCGTTCACACATCAGATCAAGGTGTGAGATAAACTTCTACTATAAAAAAATACAAGATCATGATAAACTCACCCCTGCCACCATGGAGGACAACCGACTATTGCCACACTAACCTCTCCGCTCTCTTCCTGAATCCCATCTACTGCTGCGGCCTCCCTTGAGCACGCCTCTCTGACCTCGCCACATCAATGCTATGTAATGTTTTCTGGTCAATGCTTTTGAGTTAGTTTTGGAGCTGAAATCATCATTATGCGATTGAAAGAATGCAAGTAAACTAGGTTCTGCAACATAAGCATGGAACATAAAAGGCTTACCAAATTCCATTGTTAAGTTCAACCATTTTTCTTGATGTTTGTTCCAACCAGGTTCAGTGACCATAAGTCTAGATTCCAGCCTTTTTCCTCTTGCCACACCCGTTACCAAACTGAAACATGATTGCAGATCCCTAAGCATCACTGCTGCCATGAAGCAGTGAGGTCTGCTACTGGAACCGTTGCTGAATCCACCACAGTAATATTTAGGACCTCGACATAATTATGTTCATGAAAAAAGAAGGGGACATAATTCCGGTAACATACTGCTTCAGCAAATAACGCACCACAACTTGTTCTTTTTTTCTTCTCAGCTTGCTTACCAAAGCCCACAGACCACACCAAGAAGCCATCATTCCTGAGGGTATACAGCTAATCATCCTTTGAAATCACGCTTAAACAATGCACCACATGTTTTGCCAGAAAAAGGAATGGAAGGGCTATTCCTTCATGTACCATCAGTACAGAAACACATTCAAACATCATATTGCATTCCTAGAATAAGAAAATGTATGAAATTAAATGTTTATATATAAAAAATAGCAGTAATACAAGGACAAAACATTCAAGCACAACTATGTTTCTCAGAAAAAGTTGATGCAGAAACTTACCATGTTGGCAGAGTATGAGACTCCGCTAGGAAGTTCAGTATGATACAGGTCTTCGCTCATCTTTTGTTCCAGTAGAGAGGTTATGCAAGGTGTTCAAGCTTCTTTCAATTCGCTCCTCAGTACATGCGAGTCTCCTCTCAAGTTTTAACACACCGGTATGCATGATATGAACATCAACTTCTGCAAGCTTTGCAAAAGCACGTAGCAACATGAAATAATCAGCATGTGCAACATAAACAAAGCAACCACTTAGCCGCCTCCTTCTATAACGAAGATAACCATCTGATTGCCTTGGTTTCCTAGGTGGCATATAATGAAATCCATGATCATGCATCTCTGACTTAAGCATTTGCATTGCATCATGCCCTGAAGATGCAGAAAAGCAACTTGCTTCAACAAAAGCTCCATCTCGGTAACGCTTCTTCACTCCATTTGTAATTGTTATTTCTTCAATACAATGAGATTGGGATTTTACATGATCTTTTGGATTCTCATCCTGCAATGCAACACCATAGGTATTTAAAATCACAGTTGGGAAACAAAATTTGTGCAAGACAACTAGAATGACGTTATCGTAATTAAACCTAACTGACATCCTGCCCAGAACAAAATTTCAAGGTTAAAGATCTCAACTGAATTTGTGCTGACAAAAGTGCCACAAAATTTCTGAGAATAGTCGTCCCCACCCCTAGGCCCACAAGTTCTTTTGTCTGTTTTTCAAACATGGAGATTAAATTTGCATTCTGTAGATCTTTCCAGGAAATTTTATGATAGCTAGATTGCCATGATAGAACATAGTTGATGTGCTGCACTTTTTTATTAAGTCGTTAATACAACTTATAAATAGTTGCATAGAATTGTACCAAAAATGCTGAATATGATAAGGGAAAGCAATTAATCCATAATGGGACAACTTAAAAGTTACATATATAATATTTTACCCACCTCATGCAAAAGTAATATAGGTAACAACATTGTCAAGCAAAATGCAATACCTCTCTAGTTTTGTACATATCCCAAAAGATCTCTGTTAGATGCTTCTCTTCATCTCAACATGTAAACCCAAAGAAAAATTACTTTCTTGCAATATTTGAGATAAGAGTGGAGATCACTCGAGTAGTCTGCAAAATTAGAAAACTTCAAGTGAGTGCCCCACCATTAAGTACTCCCACTAGCCACAAACACGTCAAGAAAGACCCAAGAATATGTCCAGTCAAACCATTATAACTTTATCCAAATGTAGACTAGAATACAAAAATGCCAAGAATTAGTCATAATAATCTTTTCACTAAAGAAAACAATCCCATAATTCTCCATCAGTTTGCTCTGTTTGTGCTTGGAAGCAAAACTAGATGCTAACGGTATTACATTAAGGCATGACCAGAAGACACATGAATATTTTGTTTAAGTTAATGAAAAACATGTGTTGCAGAATTAGCTTTAATAGACGTGAAATGTGCAAACAACCATTTGTACTTAATTTAGTATAGCAAGTCGAATATAAACTACCTACGATCGGGATAAGCATGCCACAAAGCTAACAGTGTACTACAAGATAAACATAATGTGGATACAAGGCAATGGCCATTAGAATTTACCATGTGCCACATTAATTTTATCATAGGCGGCTCATGATAGCACACAATAATTCTCTCGTGACAAATTCATCACTCATTCGGCCTCATGCTTTCTAAGAGTTGTTGAATTTGCATCATGATAAGATCCAGCTTGTGTTTCTTCCTTCCTTGCAAATCTTTTGCAAAGAAAGGTTACTTCAGGTCATATGCATTTATCAAAGAGCTTAGATGAGTTAGGGAGAGGTAATCTATGTGGCAAACACACCTCCCATATCCCTTGACCATTGATGTTATACATAACTCATAGAGACACAATTAGGATAGCCATCACACAAACTCATGTAGGGATTCTAGAAGGATTCTTGGACAACCATAGTTCTGCAGGCATTGCCCACTCATAAATTCGGCATGCATGGGGAGGATTCTATCTATAGGCGGTGATAAGTGCTTCAAGCAACGTTGAGAAATTGCATAGAAGTTAACTGGAGGAAGCCCCAAGCCTACTCTTTGTGCTATGGATCCAAATGCGCAGCTTCCAATTGCCATGCTCCAATAACTCGCAGACTTGGCTCGAACAAATGCCTTAAATCAAAAGGGCAATCTTGCAAAGAGCTCCCAAGGAATGTGTCAACTTCAAGAATGCAGCCAAATAAGGGACATTCCCTCCCTTGCCCACCTATAAATGTCGCTTAGCGGTGATGGCTTCACGAGCAATATGACAAAGCCAAGAAACAAATTGCCAATGTTGAGTAAAGCGGCAAAGATCATCCTCAATGAGCGCAAAAAGGCAAACTCCACCTTGTGCCATCCTTTTGTTGTGGCAAGATATCATCATCCCATTCATACTTCACACCTCGTTAGGTTTCTTGATATCTCGCAAATAAGAGATAGGTTCATGTCGAGTTTGTTCGGTTCTTCCGATGGCGAAGTACCTAACAAGGGCGAGCATAAACACTCACCTCCACCACCACAACGTTTCTCCCTCCCCAGGCCTCATGGTCTCATGAGCACCGGCGCACCCATGTTTCATCGACACCTTGGATGCGGCGACCCACCGCAGACCCCAGACAGGGGCACAGCAACAAAGACACACAAGTGCAATGCTACCTAGTCTTTGCTCCACCAGGCGCCTCCAGCTGCCATGCCACGCAGGATGACCTGGAGGCCCCACACGTAGCACAAAGTGGACCCGCACCGCCAAATCCTTGGGTCCCACACACACGCTGCCACTGGGCGCAAAGTCCCTTGGCTCACTCGGCTCCGCAAAGTCGTTGAACGCAGCGGCTGCCTGAGGGGTCCTTGGGTAAGATGTGGGGGTGCAGGTGCCAAGCTTGGGGGTGGCCTGAGTGGTGATGCGGTAGACGTAGATGTTGCGAGTGGAGCAGCAGTTGCCTGCATAGTGTGCCTGGCAAAGCACCTACGGCATGTGAAGAAGCCGTCATCTGCATCGTCGGTGTTGTAGTTGTCCCCGTTGAGGCATTCCTGGCACACCAGATGGAAGCTTCCACCACCGCCACCGTAGGGGTTTGGGGAGGCACAGCTGGGGTCGTAATCCATATTGTCACCTAAAAATGGTGTAGAAATTTACAGTTATTTTACCTGAAAAGGGTGCAGGTTTTACAGTTACAGACAAACACAATCCATTTGCCAATAACAGACCTGAGAGAAAACAAGGAAACCAACACTTTTGACATATAACTGATATTTGGTAAATCAAGGTTAGCTATCTTCCTTTTCAAGCTGGCCCTACATATACAGCACCACACGCATTCACTCCCATCCAACAACCCTAACCCAAGAGCAAAAGCTGACTAACGATGAATTTCCATTTTGTTCGGAATATGAATTTATTATTCTGAAATAGGTGATTTGATCAGAAACAGTAGTATGATAAAAACATTCAGTAACAGTAAGTATGCATCTGTAATACAGAATAAGCAACCAATGAGATGAATTGGATTCAACAAGTACCGACTGATACAAGAAAATTGTAGAACATTTCTTTAAAGCCATAAAATGGATAGTGATTCTAGAAGAAGGCAACACAACAGAAGTGCCAGGGTTTAATACACACTTGAAGGCAAGGAAGACTAAAGCCCCAAAGGATCATGAACCCAAGGCAGATTTAGGTCTTCCCTTTCAGCACATAGCTAGGTGTAGAACAATAGACAAGCAATACAACTACATACACAATAAGAGAATTAGCAGGCAACACCTGTGCTTAGCATGGTAGTCTAATCTGGCAGTGGAGCAAATTAAACAGGAAATGTGCCAGCCATGGAACAACCTGGAGGCAGTTATTAAAACCCAACTTGTAAAATTATGTATCTTTGCTGAAGTTCCACACTATGCCTTACTTATGTGTTGAAATAATTTTAATAAAGATAGTATTACAGATACGAGTTTCCAATCCAGGTTAACAATCTTCAATCTCTCAATATTACTACTTCATTCACTTAATATTTATCAGTTATGATGAAGTGACAAATAGGTTCATCATACAAAAAGTAAGATCAGAAAAACAGTTTGTGTGAATAATTGTGCGATGATATAGACCTAATTGAATGCCTGGAATAAAGGAACTTACGATGTAAATTACAGCACCAGCTTTCCAGGTGGAGTAGAGTGAAATCAAACAGCTTGCTTGAGCCTGATATGTGATTGATCAATATCAAATATCAATAGCAGCACACAGGTATTCTGCTACATCTGTACACATCTAAGATTAAGCAACACAGTCATTCACGTGAATCACTGGTTCAGAACATCAAGAATAAATAAAATAAATATTAAGTTAAAAGGCAAGAGCGGAAATATCAATATTCATAATGGCTGCCCATTTTATACAACTGTTTTGAGTTATGTGAGATGAAGGTTGGAGTTCCAAGCATGGGAGGTGCACTAACTGCCTTCTCAACATTGTAAACACAATATAGATGTTACTTTTAAACTTTATGGATGTAAATGTATCACATGATTTAAAGTAGTAACATGTGATGAGCAATACTTCTTTTACAACATATAATTTCAACAAGAGGGAAGCATATCAATTGGCAACCATAAACAATGAACAACAGAGCATTCTTATGAAATGTCGAAATGTTTCCAACTGATTCAGTTCCTGTTTTTAATTGAATTGCAGGACTGCAGATATCATATTAACTATATAACAATATATTGCAAAGTCTATATGTGAGTTCTCTGTATGGGGTGCACTATTGAATCTAAGTGAGTGGCATTAGTTAAATCAATGTGCCTATATGCCTAGGGATAGTACATAGGTTTGCTACAATGAGAAAGTAAATATTAGCTCTAATGAACATGTAATTGGTTTGAATCACTTTGCAGTGTTTTTTTCAGTGTTGTTAATTGCTCCTAACTTTCAGTATGACATATTAAAAAGGATCAAGTTTATTTCAACACAGGACTCGCTAGCTATCAAAATTGCCATGCAAGTTTAGAGTTAACTTGTAATACATCATAACTCCTTGGCTGGATCATGCACTGTCTTAGTACAGGTCTATGTTGGGAGCAGTTATTTGATGAGACCAAATGTCAAACTTTATGGAGCTACAGGCAGAGAACAGATAAGAACTTTTAGACGTATGTTTTAATATGAATCATCAAGAAAATAAATACTCTCCGATTAAGCACTATTCTAAAACTGCTAAATATTGCCCATGATAATCTCATTGTTAAAACATTTACATATATGGAGCCCTACCAAGACATACTTGAGTTACAAAAATATAGGGAGCCCTACCAAGACTTCTACTATGAATTTGTATTATATAGTGTGAATCATCTGAGGAAGAGATCGAATGAAATAGCGAGTTGATATAAGTGCTACAGGAAGACTGGCTGACAGCCCAAATTGTGATCTACATATTACTAGCGGTGTAATTAAAATTATGCGAATGGTTACCATGTTAAGAAAAGTTTACTTTAAAAACAGGAGATGGAAAGATGTAATTGTAGTGTATCAGTATTCTTATTGTGAGAATACTAGCGGTGTAATTAAAATTGTGATCTACATATTACTATCAGTATTCTCCCTATTTTTTAATCTTAGATTAGATTCAACTTAAAATATAGGTTCATGTCTATAATACCTTCTTATTGTGAGAATACAATTAGAGTAGTGCCAATGTTATCAAATCACCTAGTCGAGCCTACTGGTAAGGGGACCGAACAGACAACTAATCGACTAATGGCGATGTTTTGTCGATCAGCCCCATAGTCGACTAATCACCTAGTAGTCAGCAGTTTAGGGCCTGTTTGATATAGGGCGCAGGGGTGGCAGAGGCCGTCAGCCAGGCCCTGGCCAGCCACGGCCTAGTCCAGAGCACACACAAGGGTGTGTTTGATTTCCTAAATGGGAGACGGGCCCAGGAGAGGTTGTGTTTGTTTTCTTCCAGCCAGCTTGGCCCAACACCAACTACCTCCAACTACTAGATGGAGATTTTGTTTGATTCCGGCCCGGCTAGCCATAGGCTAAATACCAGAACCAGCAGTGTATAGAGAAAACAACAACAGATTTGAGAATGCAAATGTGATCAGACAAGAGGATACAACAACAACAATGTAATTTTGATTAGATTGGCCTCAGGACTAATTATTGTTGTAATGCATTAATTAATCATACCTGCCTCGAGATAATTTAAAACCAATGTGACAGAGAGACTAACAGCACAAATGTGAGTTCAGTACATACAATAGCAGTCCAAAAGCATAACCAGCTAAGACATGGGTTCATGAGACACAGAACAAAAGCATGAAGGCAGGTAATGAAACCTAGGTTGTTGTCATCATTGGCCTACACATTGCAATTACACGAGGGACACTTGTTTATCTTCATCCAAAGAGCAAACAGCAGGACAGAAAGAGCCAATATAAGCATATTCTTCCAACAACCACTCTTACCAATAGCTATAGGAATTCCTTCACAGCAGTCATCTAGGAGCAGCTGGGAGGGGAGGAGAGTTGCTGCTCCCAGAGATGCTTTGAAATCTCTAAGTGCCTCCTCATAATTTTTGTACTTCAAATATCTTGGATTCTTGAATCCAAGAACATGTTCACTGCATTCATACCAGGTTCTATAGATTCTAGGTTGCTTCCCATGGAAAACCACATAGCAAGGTGCCATTTTCTGTGAAATCAGAATTGTAATTAGCCTCAGTCCTTTGTGAATCATGAAACAAGGCATAAGTGCGACATTGAAGATCTAGGGATTGATAAAAGAAACAACCCATGATCCTAAATGCCACATCGATGGTTTGGTTCATCTTGTTGAAATGAAACAATTGACATCATAGGCTAAAAAAAGTGGCCTCACGGTGTTGCAAGAGAATGGATGGTTCATATGGATTTGATGACAATCATGAAAACCAGCAAGAACACGCCATGAAAAAACAATAACAACAAGAAACAGTTGTGCAGCCACCTCATTGTTTTTTTCCACATTGTGCATCATAGGCCAGATCAGAAACCCACTTTAGGCACCAACTCATGGAAATACAGGTATCAAATCCAAGAAATGACAAAAATATATGAAAGGATGAAGTGAAGATTCAAACAAGGCCATCCCCAAAATCATGAAAGCCATGAAATCCATGGGCACATCCATTCACTGCCATCAGCATGGTATGAGCATGCTGTTGCTAGGGAATGGATGTGTCCCACGGGTTCAATGACACCCATGAAAAGCACAATGTAATACAATCCTCCCAATGCAACAGGAACATAAAGTGACAAATATAGTAGCAGTAGTAGTAACCAACAGAGGTTACTAATTAATACATCAAGTTTGTCTCCAAATAAAGGTTCAACCCACAACAAGTAGGCACTTAAGTGAACTACCTAGTTACACTTGCTCGAGATATAGTTAGCCACCCTCCAACTATGCAAACCCAAAAGGATAGGTGCTGGTCAGCCATCTACCATGCACAGGAGCTACACCAAAATGGAACCCAAAAGAGAAGAGAGCGGGTGAGGGAGGTGGAGGAACTATACATCTCAATAGTCAACCCCTCCTTGCCTTGCTGTCCTAGATGGACAGAACTACATATAGTAGTTCTTGGCAAGGTAGTTCCTCAGCCAAATGTCCCTATGGCTGATTAACATGTTCACAAAGCCCCTGCCAAGGGCCTTATTTTCCAGCAGGTAGGTGTAGGTAACAATGAGAGCTTCAATGGTGAAGCCAAGCATCTCCATCACTGCAAGATAGAGGTCAGGATCCACATGTGCAGACCTAGTCTCTCTAAGTGCAGAGGCTACATTGTTGATAGCATCAGTCATGTTAGTCATCATCAGCATCTATTCCTCACTAAAATTACCCCTCTTTCTCTTTACTCCCATAGTGGAAGTGAGCAGCTCAGTTGCCTTGCTGCCCTCACCCATCTCAGGGCTGCATTTGACATCAACAGCAGTGGTGAAGCCCTGACCCTCAATCTTAGCAGCAACACTGTCAACATTGTTCACCCCAAGTGGCTCACTGGAACCTAGGGCAAACCTACCAGTGGCCATGGAAGAACCAAATATGGTCTCCATCTCAGTGTAGAACCTAATTGGGGTGTTCAAGAATTTAGCATCCTTAGGATGGTCCTGCAGTCATGTGTGCTTAATTAAATAAACAGAGAAGAAGAGAATAAGTGGCCAAAAGAGGAAGAGAGAAGAGAGAAAGGCAATTGACTCTTTTTCTACCTTGTAGTGGCCTATGTAGTACTCAGGTTCAAGCATTATGGCATTGACATCATGATCAAACAGTGCACCACTAAGGTCCTTCAACTTCACAACCCTAGCCCACTTTTGCCTCCACTTCCTCAAGTGGTTGTACATTTGAGTAGGGCTCACAGCCTCACCATCAAAAACTATCTAGGCCATCCTCTTAAGGACAAACCTAGAGGTGTTGTTATTCCACCTCATGGGGGACCTAGCACCACCAAGCACCCCCTGGGCAGGCACTAACCTTAGGTGCATCAGCCCCCACATCCACCACCTCAGGTGCTACAACAGCCACTGCTGGCACAACAGCAGTTGCCCTAGCACCAGCCCCAGCAGCCATGTCAACAGCTACCATAAACCCAGCCATCCTAATAAGGTCACCATACATCATATGAAGACAGGCATCAACAACAAATAGTATAGGAAGATGAACAAGAAATGGAAGATGAACAATAGATATAAGATTGGTCTCAGTCATGTCCAACAGTTATTACAGATGATGAATACACCACATGAGTTCCATATCTAGGGTCTACAAACTGAAATTATACAAGAATGCAAAGCATGAATCAAACCCTAGCAGTACCCCTACCAGCCCACATGGCATTGTAAATGCCATCCCTCCTATTAGACATGCCAATGGAGTCCTAGGACAACATGTCTCCCATATGCTAGGTTTCATCACCCTCAGGCTGGCTACCTACAAAGCCCTCCTCTTCTAGCACTACTTCATCCATGCCAAACCCAATGATCCAATTATGGAGAATACAACAGGCCAGTACAAGCTTCACTTGAGTCCTATATGTGTGGAAAGGTTTGTTGTCTAGGATACAAAATATGTTCTTGAGTGCACTAAAAGCTCTCTCCACTGTCACCCTAAGGGATGAATGCCTTAGGTTGAACAATTCCCTGGCATTGGTAGGATAATTGTGGCTCCCAAATTCAGACAAAGTGGTACCTCACCCCCCTATAGGGAGGGAGGAAACCAGTGTGGCAACCATAGCTAGCATCTACCAGGTAAAACTTCCCTACAAGTGGACCAAAAGATATTGTCGGTGCGAAAAGTGACCAACAAGTAAATATTTGTAGTTTTGCCATGCGTTGTGATCGGATATGGCCTAGCACTCAATGACACAAGATTTATACTGGTTCAGGCAATGTGCCCTACATCCAGTTTTAGTTAGTCAATGACTTTATTCCTGAGCCTAGGTGCTCGAAGTTTGTTGTGGGGTTACAAACGAATAGGAATGAGAAGGGGTGTTAGAGGCCCGGTCGGACTCTGAACCGAGTGGCCGAGAGTGACGGGGGCTCTAATGTATATGCTAAGTATTGGAGCGTATGCTCTATGTGTCTGAACTTATCAGCTGTTGAGCTATTGAGCGGTTGTTCTCGAGTCTTCGAGAGAGAAGCCGTTGTTCAGGAGAGAGCGCATCCCCTTTTATAGTTGAAAGGGATGGCCTTACAAGTCAAGAGAGAAGAGAGAGAGTGTATACATGTGCTGCCTAGCCTTGTTGTTCACACCATTAGGTACGGGATGGCTGCCAGTGCCCACAATACTGTTTATGTCCAGACGCGTCTGGCAGGCTCTACCGTGTTCACTTGGTACGGCAAACGATGACACCCACAATACTGTTTGTGGTCTGAAGAGTCTGGAAGGTTGTATATTGTTCGTCTGTCATGACCTGGTGGCACCGTCCAACAGGTGCGCAAGGTATGGTAGGGTACGGTCCTCAGTATTACGGTTTGACTTGAGCGCCTTACCTTATCTGCTCCGCCTGCTCCCTAGGCCCACACCGAGCGAGCGTCCCCGGTCGGTCGTTCCTAGTCGTCCCCAACCATGTTGGTTGGGAAAGAGAGATGAGCAAAGGTCTAGAATATCCTCGGTCGGAGGAACGGGGTTGCAGTCGGGCTGCGATCCCACCACGGCCAGGCCTTCCAGTTGGGGTTCGACAGGTCTTGGGCGAGATGGAGCTCGAACCTAAGGGGTTGGGTGAGACGGAGCCCACGACCTTGGGCGAGACCCCCGTGGCCTCGAGGTCGAGCAAGATGGAGCACTGAACCCAAGGGGTCGGGCGAGATAGAGCCCATGGCCTCCTACCACTGCCACACATCCAAAAATCATTTCATTCCTAAGCTATAGTAGACCCTAGCTGGCCTCAACATGAAAGTGCAATCATTCATATCAAAAGCTAATAGCACGGCTGCATAAAAAGAATGCCTCTAGTGCATTGGACAAAATCATCATCGACCATGAAAGAATTAACATTTCAGCATAAAGTGGACAGATTCATCATCGACCATATGAAAAGTACCAACAATGCAGCATAAATGTTTCAGTGCTTGAAATCAACATTCATAGCAACTACACAAGCATCATGTACCCAAACAATCATTCCACAGAGACAAATTGAAATCAAAATAGGGCAACAGGAAACCCTAGAATGAAAGCAAAGGGGATTTGGGGGGGGGGATTTCACCTCGGGGAGTCGACAAAGACAGGAAGAAGTGCAAGATAGAGAAGAAGAAGAGACACAATGGAAGCAGAAGTAGATCCGGTACGGGACAAAGCATATTGACCCCAACCGAGACCAGCCGCACCACCGAAGGAGGAAGAAGACGAAGGAGGAAGACGATCGTGTCCATGGAGCCCGGTAGGAGGCACAACAGCACTGTGGCCAAGCGGATCCTGACCACCTGAACGGATACGAAGACTAGAGAGGAAGAAGCCTGCCGCACCACACCAACACCGCCGGTCACTCAACACAAATGCGGTGGGGAAGACGGAGTTGGAGGAGGGAGAACAAGGCAACGAGGGAGGAGGGTGGCATATAAAGGCAACAAATTTCGGTGAGGAGGAGCACGGGAGGAAGTTTCATGGTTCCCACGTGAGCCCACGTGAGCCGCCACCGTCGCCCCAAAATCGCCCACGCAAGGATAGAGGGAGCCTAGCTCCAAAGGAATGAACCCTAGGAGTGTTCCCCCGGATGTAGGAGAGAGAGTGCGTTTTGCACTCGTGGAGCTGGGCCGCCACCGGGCCAAGCAAATCAAATAGGTCGGGTTGCAGCTGAGGAGCGCCGGCCACCCCCTTGGCCCTATATCAAACAAGCCCTTAGTTGTCCTACCTTCATGCCTTGGTACCAGGTCTCAGGATATATGCCCCACTGTGAGGAAAACAGGGCAACAAGATGAAGACTACAAGAGCGAGGGGTTACACACCGCTGGAGGGGACTCATCTGAGACCTAGGGCCAGTGGATGTGGACGGGAGATGGGAAGGGAGCCACCAAGACAAAAGTCCTTGAGTATCACGGTGCTTGAGCAATGGCGCCGAGGCCAAGCATAGGCATGGATGGGACTTGGGGTGGGGTGGTAGGGGCGGGGGCCGTGCTAGGGAAATAGAAGGCGGAGGGTGGATGTGCGATGACATGATCCCAAGTATGGTGTGGCTCCTGCCATCTCCGTCTGTCACCAAATTCAGCAAGTCGGCGCAAAACGTCTGAATGAACTCTTCAACCTAATAATCTATACCTAACACTAAAGAGGCAAAATTTCTTGCCACAATTTTTTTTCGTCCATCTCCTAATCTCCTCTAGATTCACGCTTAGATCATCTGTGTCGGGTATCATTATTAGGGATACCCAAAGCAAGGAGGTTAACGCCCACGCTGACTCCCCCGGATGGCTCAAGATGTATTAAAAGGTCTCGAGCGACCCCAAGGCCGCGGGCCCCATCTCGCCCAAGGTCGTGGGTTCCGTCTCGCCCGACCATCGGGTACGGGCTCTATGTCGCCCGACCCCTCGGGTGCGGGTTCCATCTCGCCCGACCCCTCGGGTGCAGGCTCCGTCTCGCCCAAGGTCACGGGTTCTGTCTCGCCTGACCCCTCGGGTGCGGGTTACGTCTCGCCCAACCCCGAGGACATGGGCTCCGTCTTCGCTTGACCCTAAGGCCACAGGCTCTGTCTTGCCCGACCCCAAGGCCATGGGGTCCAACTCGCCTGACCCCTTGGGTTCGTGCCCCGTCTCGCCCGACCCCAAGGACGTGGGTTCCGTCTCGTCCGACGGGGACCCATACCACTGCCAACCACTATAAGTCCAAGCGTATGGGCTTGAGTCAAAACTCTGACACCAAGAAAGAGGCTGGCATGCCTCGATGTAACCCATGGCCATGACCTGGCAATTCACATCAAGAACAATGTCGGGACGTGCTGGTACTGTTCTGCCTAACCCTCGTACGAATGCTAACAGGCGCGTCAGTTCACCACGACGTCCGCCGGGACGGAGTGGAACGCCATGACCGACAAATGACGCCTGTGCATGGCGCCAGTGACGAATAGGGCCATGATGTGGAGCCATGCCTATTGACATCTATAGGATCGGAAGACCCGCATGAAGGAGAAGAAGGACTCGATGACCCTAAAACCTTCTTCTCTCTCTCTTCTCTCTCGTTCTTCTCCTTTTCCTCCACTGTAACCCGCGCTTTTTCTTCGCTTATAAAAGGGAAAGCAGGGCGCCCCATGGGAGCGGGGCCAGACCATGAGATAAAAACACAAGAGCACGACACAAGCACACGGTTGAGCAGAAATCAAGCTCTCAGCACCCGTTCACTTCTTCCACCAGAGACTTGGGATCATTTTCCTCTCTCGTCTGTTTGTAACCCCTACTGTAAACCAAATGCCAGTAACACGAGCAGCAGCGAATTAGAGATAGGGATGTTCTGCCCGAACCAGTATAAGCCCTTGTATCCTCCGAGCACACCATCCAAGCCAGACGCGCAAATATAAATTTACTCGTTGGTGGTCCAAAAACACCGAAGTGATTTTCGTGTCCAGGTTGTTTTGTCTAACTTATGCCTCACTCCAATTTCCATCTAGGTCTTGGTTTCTTTATACTGGTCGTTTCCACCCGATCCTTGTTATGCTCGCTTCAATTTTCGTATCGATTCCGATTTTATTCTGGTTGCCTAGTTCATATCAGTTTCTCTCATGCTTTTTTTATTGTGCATGTTCTTTGCTCCTGTGACTTTTGTGATCCCATGATTTTTTCTCTATAAACAAAAGAAATAGTAAATATAATATTTTTGAACTATTTTTTTGTGATTACATAGTACAACGCAGACACTCTACAACGCACGCACATTCACCCCTACGAACACACGCACAAAAACCCTATCCACTTGAACCATTGACTTTCCAATGAAATAAAATATTTATGTAGTTTTGATTATAAAATATTTTTATTAAAACTTAGATCAGCCAATAGTCCAACTAACTAAAATCGTATAATTAAAATTAAAATCTTGACCAGTTTGTTGTCTATTCCAATGTAAATAAATATATATCTGCCATCCCCTATAAGGGCTGACACATGAAA